TTCCTGCTGTAATTACACTTGAAAAACAAGTGCTCATGAGACTCGTCATCCGTACAACAAAGGCTGCATGTTGTTGGGACGTTCATTCCCCACGAAGTCAACCGGTCGCGAGTTGAAAGCCGACACTGAACCACCTGCCATAAGACAAGAGACATAGGGGATAGCAACACGGAACCACACCAGGTGGTACCAGGTTGTTAAAGTAGGAAAATGAATATGTGATTGGAGGAAAATCTAGATTTTGGAGGAACACAATATTATGTTAAATATTGTGAATCATATTTATTTCCGTTATATCTATATTTCCTTTTATTTCATTTGTTAATTTTCCTATAAATATGTGAGTTATTTTCATTGTAATGGAACAAGAAGAAGAAGAGATATAGCAATAAAAGTAATTCCGTTCTTTTCTATTTGTCTTATTTTATTTCCGCATTTTATTTTTCTACACAGGTGACGTCCGGATTGAGCGACTGCAATAGACTGCGAGTGCCACCCCCGTGGAAGCTCGCTCTGTAGTCTCCCGATCGCTGACGCCATTCGTATTATAATTTATTTGGACTGAGCGATGAGATCTGTATGATCTCGGGTTGTAAACTTATATTAACAATTACAGTTATGAAAATCACATCGGTCTAAATAAATGATTTTGATGGACTGCGTGATTTTCTCGTATGAAATGAATTTTGTTTGGACCGTAACCTTAACGGTGCCCTAAATTACGGTTTAAGTGGTTTTGTTTTCATATCCGTGAAATTTGATAAGATATCGGATATCTGAAAATTACAAAATGTATTTCTATTTATATTTACAAAATTACTAATACCTACAGATTTATATATATATATATATATATATATGTTTATATATGTATAAAGATTTGTACATATTTTTTAATTATTATTTATTATTATTATTCTATTATTTTATTTATTTTTTATTTTTAATTAAAATTTTAAATATTTTATTATGAATGATGTGACATATTAATTTGATGTAGAGATGATTTGGTAACTCGGTTAATGGTATATTAGCGAATAGAAGTATATTGGCTAATCATTTATGAGTCAAATAAAAATAGTTTAGAGTTTATTTGATAAATAAAAAAATATAGGATTTTTTAGTTAACTTTTCTAGTATAGAGTGTTTTAGCTATTCCCCTAACATATATAAACAACTCATATAAATAAATATATTTATATATATATATATATATATATATGTATAAAAAATTTGTACTACATGCAAAAAACTAGTTCCTTTCCCAAAAATAAATCAAACCCTAAAATCTGTTCGAAATTAAATTAAAGAAAAACAAAAAAGAAACTTCAGCAAGAAACATCCTAAACTAGCACCCATTCAGATTCTGTATCTTCTTCTTCCCCAGCCACAGCTGCTGCTTCTTCTTCTTCTTCTTCTTCATTGTCGCAGTCGATGAAGAAATCGCTATCCGTATCCTCATGCGTCGATTCCTGTTCCGACATGCACGTGCCGTAATCCGATGGTTCTTCCTGTTCTGACCCGAACGTGTCGGAATCCGAGGAATCGTCCAGTTCTAACATGCCCATGTCTTCATCCGAAAATAACTTGGTATCTTCGCCGAGAAATACGGAGATCAATCGCTTCTTCATCTCCTTGATTCCTTCTTCTTCTTCGTCTCTCTTCACAGATTCTTCCGAGTGATTGCCACTGAGGCGGCGAGCCTGTTCACGTTCAGTTTGTTCATTGTCCTCCACAGAATTGCTGTGGCAACTTCCATAGTTGTCGAAAGCTTCTGGTGATTCGTCGATGTGAAAATGGCGGACGAGCAGTTTCTCGACTTCGGCTGCAAGATCCAGACGCCCTTTTGCCCTCAGATCCGATGCCACAATCACCAGAAAGAGTTTCTGCAAAAATTTTATAAAAAAAAACAAAAGATTGAGACAAAATATATGGAAGCCCTAGACTGAACTGTATGTTACATCTTCTGTTCCGTCGTCTGATTCATCACAACAGTCCAGTTTTCAGCTTCTCAAAGCTTTTGAGAATTCGTAATCAATTGTTTGATTATGGTTATGACTAATAGTCTCATGGGTTTTTTACTTTAGTTTTTAGTTTTCATAGTTTTTACCCGTTCTTATTAGGGTTGAACTTTCTGGATTTAGTTCGCAATTTTAGCGGTTCGGTTTGGGAAAGGTCTATTCGGTACCCTAAAATTTGTTCCAAATTAGTATCGTATAATATTCGGTTCGTTCCGGTTCTTGTTTTGGTATGGTTCGGTTTCGGATTTTGTTAACAAAATTTAGATTTTTTTAAAAAAAATTCAGTTTTTTGAGAATCAAGTTTGGTTCGGTTATTAGAAATTCGATTCAATAAAAATATATCGTTTGAGAATTTTAAATGGTACGATTCGAAAAAAAAAACCAAAAATTCAGTTTGGTACAGTTTGGTTTCGAGGAACCGAACCAAAATGTCCACCCCTAGTTTTTATATCAGGTGAAAATCTATAAAAAAAATGAGTTTATGATTTTTGCGTGATTTTTTCAATGAAATGAATCGGGTTTTTAGGAAAAGCAAACATATAAAATTTTAACTAAATTTTATTTTGGTTTTTTAGATTCCAAAATTCGGATAAAACTCTAGACGAAATGGAAAATAATTAACGATTAGGAAAAAGAAATGCACTTACGCAATCTTCTGGTTTGTGGTGACGAAACCAATCGCTGATATATTTCATTTCAGCATTGTCATCATCAACATCAGATTCAGAAGCTTCATGTTCCAGATTTTCCATCTCCACTTGAAACTTACTGTCTGAAACTCCTGCAACCACTTAAAAAACTGTGACTTGTTCCTCAAGGAACAAAGAGAGCGGTACTCGAAAAAACGGGAAATTCCCTGCAGACCCATTTGAAATTCAATCTCGAGTTATAAGATTTCGATATTTCAAAAGGGAATTAGAGAAACAGTTTCTACCGTTTTGTTTCATCTGTATATATGTTTGGTAATGAGAGTATACAGAAGAGGTACAAAGACAGTGTCCGATTAACACTCACTCGATGTTTCTTCGGTCTCTGGTCTTTCAAGATTCGGTGTCTTGAACATCTCCGTAACAAGATCCCACCAGATCTCTCTCACATTGTCGACAAGCGCTTTAAATTTCTGCCCAAAAAAAGAAAATTAAAGAAAAGAAAAATTATTCGGATTATATCTCGAAAAATAAGGTTTTTTTTGTGACCGGGTATCCGGGCCAAGTCCCAAACTATTTCCGGGGTCGGGAGGCAACCAATTGATTTGGAATATACGCTCTCTCCCCAAACTTGAAGTTCAAACTCGGGACGAGACAGACGGCCCCCCTTTCACCGGTTGAAGTTGAACTACCAAGTTTGGGTTTTCGGAAAATAAGTTTATCAGACACTTTCTCGAAGAACCGATCCCTGAATGTAGACAAGGATCTGAAGACAAAACTGGATATATATACATACATATATATAGGGCTGAATATGTATATTCTCCGAGTCGATACCTTTTGAATGGCATCGTCGGCCATCTCGATCGCTAATCCGATTTCCTCTAACAACGCATCAAACCAGCCGCCGCCTTCTCCGCTTTCCATTCTTTCAACTGAAAAGTTTTGGATTCAGCGTCGAAAAGAAAGCTCGAACACATAAAAAAGACAGGGAGATTAGGGCGTTTTCATATTAGCATTAACGATTCAGAGTGAAGAGTCAATCCTGGTCAAAACTAGGGTTTCAGAGCTAGGGTTTGTTCGTTTTAGTTTGCATTGATGATGTCTTACTAGCAATCTAATTCCTTAAACCCTAATGGGATAAACCACAGCAGCAGTGAATTTCCATGGCATGGCCAAGAAATCCCTTGGAAAAAAAAGCTTTTTCCTTCGCCTCAAGATAACTTTCTAGACATACACAAACTTTCGAAACCCTAGATTGGGTGGTTTAACCGATAAAGAAGAAGTAAAACTCTTTTCTACCCCGGTTTTGAGTCCTCACTTGGGAGAGTATTCACATGGGTTTTTCCGGTCCTCTATAAAATGTAGTTAGGTCAAACACCCGATAAAATTCCAGATTATAAAAAAAAAAAAATACTTTCGAAACCCTAACTAAATCCAAAGCAATGAAGTTTCATGCTCTAAAACCACATAGGATTTCCATATTCGAGCAAAACCCCATCAAAATATAGAGATCGAGATCTTCAGAAACTTACTGAAAGCGAGAATCTTTGCCGGGAAACCGAAATTCTCCGAGAAAAATCAGAGAATATAAACGATGAGTGACGGCGGGGTCCGGTTCTGTTGTAGCTTTGAGGAGATGAGAAAACTTGAGCGTTTTCATAAAACAAATAAATAAAAAAGGAGAGTTTTATTGATAAATTTTGGGATTTAGATAAACTCTTGCGGATTCTGGTAGTTATCTATCTAAACTCAATCTTGTATTAATTAACTTATTTTATTTTTTATTCAAATTATTTAATTTTTACGTTGTTTCCTTAACTATAGTGATATATTTTTCAGCTCAAGCACTTGGTTTAACCACCAAGTATAAAATTTTACTTATTCACTACTCAAATTAACTAGTATTAATTTTATTTTCTCTCATCTCTTCATTATTTTATTAAACGTATATAACTTCTTAATCTGGCCACGAGTATTCTAATTATATATATATATATATATATATGTATATTATAAATTTTTTTAAAGTATATTGAAGTTCACTAGAATTTCGGCCCAAAAAAATCGAATATATTTGCTTTGAACCTAAACAATTATCGGAAAAATAAAGAGAGAAAAAAATTATATTATAGACTAATTCTATCTCTGGAACTATTCAATAATTCATTTCAAGCTTGAATACATTTTTCTATGTATATTTTTTTAATGGAAAACAGAATTAAAAAAAAAAAGGAAATATATCATAGATAGATTATTCAAACAGTACTATAATTTTCATGTAACTATTTTCTTATATTATACATATATATATATAGGTCATTTCCCTGTAAATTACCGTATACTTTTCTATCTTTGAATTAAATTATCTACTAAATTTTTATAATCTTAAACCGATTAAACTTAGTTTTTTTAATATTTTCTGTAAACTAAAATAATAATACTATTTATTATTATTATTATTATTATTATTATCTTATCATTTTTTTCAGTTGATTTAGTACAAGTATAAGGTTTTTCCAATTTATTTTATATAATGGTTGAAATTCAAACATAGAAAGATAGGAATACAGTACGGAGAATTGTATACTTTTAATATTATATACACATATTTATCATATGATTAGGATAAAAGCAAATGCAAGCCAACTTGCCTTTTGTTGACTTTGACCTAAGAAGGATTTGATTGGTTGGTGATCCATCGAGAAGCAGGTGACAGTAGCTTTACCCTGCGTCACATTTATCATGCCATTCATAGTTAAAATGCATTTGTTATAAAAAAAATTTTTTGGTAAAGTTGTTATAATTTTATTGTTTACGCAAATGTACCAAAACACGACAGATTGCACAATTTTGCCGCAATATATATAATACATTTTTTAAATATTGGTAGCCACATAAAAAATATGATATTTTAAATAAAAGGAATTTTTATATAAAATATTTAAATTTATAAAATATATTAGAATAAATACTAAAATTTGAAACACTGAAATTATTTTTAAATCTTTAATTCAAGCCTTTTTTATATTTTTGAATAAATTTTGTAAACAAAATACGTGATTAAATAGTCTAATTTTTTTGTTTATCTATCTCTGAACTTTAATAATTCAAACCATATATCATATAATGATATGATGATTTGTTTGTAGGTTAATATTTTTATTTTTATTTTATTTTTTAATTTTTCTCCTTTCAATGAGATGCGTAGGAAACGAAGAATGATCTACGAATTTCTCACTTTGCAATTGTAATTGTTTCATAATGTGGTTTGAACATTAAATTGTTTATAAAATCTGATAATGTGAATAGATGTTGATTTAAAATGTAATGACATATATTTTCAAAATAAAATATTTATCTTTGAATCAAATTTAAATTAAATATAGAGATAATTTAAAATTTGAAGAACAATAATTATTTAAAAAATATTTTAGTTAAAAGTAATGTTGACCGTAAGCTAAATAAAAATTTTGGTAAAAAATTGAACAAATATAATTTAGATATAAGTAGATATTTTATATTGGAATAAAAAAACATTGACTTCTCTTATTTTCTATATTCAGGTGTATTTATAATTTATTAGGGATTTGATCCTTCCAATTTTTTGTTTTTGTTTTCTCATTTCCTATCAAGTCAAAGTTCACCACATTTATGATTTTATTTTTGACAATATATTTTAGTTAGATTAGCATTCATTTTAGTCAAACACATTTATATTTATGTTTTTTTATTAATATTTTGGTTCTTTTATAAATAGGCCAACTAAACTTATTTGTAATCATTAAATCATTTTCTATCTGTTTTAAAAAATTTCGTTCGTCTTCTTTGAAACTATTTATGAATTTATCGGATTTTGAATTCAACTTTATATTAAATATAAAGAAAACTTGAATTTTGTAAAATAGAAGGTATTTAAAACAAATATTTTTATTAAAAGTAATGTCGATCATAAATTAAATAAAAATTTTAATATAAAAATTGAACAAATATAATTTAAGAATAACGAGATATTTTATATTGGAATAAAAAAATATTGATTTCTATCGCTTTCTATATTGAGGTGTATTTATTATTTATTGTTTATTGGGGTTATAAAACACATGTTTTTTGTATTTAATGTTAAGTTTGATCGGTAATTTATCACTTTTTGTATTTAATGTCACAGTTTAATTCGTGAAATTTTGAATCTTAAAATTAAAAAAAAAATACGTTTTCAATGATTTTCTATAAATCGGGAAATCAAATCTCTAGGGCTTTGGCCGACCCTGCTTCGGAATTTTTTTTTTCTGTTCGTTTTCTCGTCCCCTTTTTCATTTTCCCGGAAAATTGGCAGTCGATGATAAGTTTTTTGGGCTGAAACGAAGAAAATTCCACCAAACAGAGCATGGGTTTCTGTGAAGAGGATAACGTAGAGGCATGTCGGATTCAGACACTTACGTCACTCTGAAGACAAATTGGGAGTCAGGATTCTCTCTCCAACTCCTGCTTTGATTGTATCCTGTATACACCTGTGTGTGTGTATATATACATGTACACACACGACGTCGAATATGTCTACGGCTTCTTGGATTCGGCCTCCTTGTAGATTCTTGTCGGAATCCGGCGGTGTTGCTAATCTCTGCGGCGGCGGAGCACGGCGGTTTCCCATCGGTTCCTCTTCGGCGGCGGCGTCTTACTCCTCTCCTTCGTCGTCCTCGTGTTCTTGCTGCTCTTCGCAGAATTTGAATTTCGCTTTCGGTAATTTCGCCCGATTCATATGTATTTCGAATGTCCCTTCCGCATTTCGAGTCCTATTTTGTAGATTTAGGGTTTGGCATCCTCTGCTCATTTGCCTCTTTAACTAATTTGGTACTTTGAGGGATTGAAGCTGATTCTTTCGTGCTGAAGATGCAATTTTGATGCGATTTGGTTGAAAAACAACACTCAGTTTAATTGCAGTGGGCAAAATTTCGTCATCTCTCTCTGTCTTCTCGCCATGGAAACTGGGAAGAACCTCCAAGATTTTGCAAGACTGTGAATTGCACATCACGATTTTGATCAAAGAATTGGGTTGAGATTTTCTCGTTCAGTGTTGTTTCCTTTGGTTTCGGTTGTGAGTAGGATCGAGCAGAAGCCGGAAGTATCGAGGGCTTAGGGCACAAGCAATGAGCGCCACCACCGCCGAACGGAGTTATTCGGTGTCGAAGGGCGACACGGACGAGAAAAACGAGCCCGAGCATCTTCTTGTTCTTGTACACGGTATCTTGGCGAGGTACGATGATTCTTTTGTCCGAGTTCGCCCTCTTCCCTGCCATTGTTTGGATCATTTTCATCGACCCTTGTCCGAATTTATTCCAAATGCAGCCCCAGCGACTGGATCTATGTGGAAGCGGAGTTGAAAAGACGCCTCGGAAGAAAGTTCTTGATTTACGGTATGCTTATAAGGTTTCGATTTTGTCGTTCTTGGTTCAGTGTGAAGTAGGTTGAGTTATCCATGACAAAAATAGTTGGATCATAGCAAGTTCTTCCATTTTCATTCGAGAATCGGATGCAATCTTGGTTTTCTTGAAAAAATTACTCGTTTTCCTCACGACATTCACAGCAAGTTCTTCCAATACCTTCACTAAAACATTTGGCGGGATTGATGGAGCCGGGAAACGACTAGCCGAAGAGGTGAAGTTTTGTATGCCCACAATGCCCTTTTCCATCTCGGGTCCGAGCCCGGGTTTTTCTGATCCGTAAAGACATCGACTGATATCTTTTCTTCGTTCTTTTTCTTCCGACAGGTTATGCAAGTGGTACAGAAGAGCAAGGGCTTAAAAAAGGTTTCTTTTTTGGCTCACTCCCTCGGCGGTCTATTTGCCAGATACGCAGTTGCTGTCCTTCATTCTCCCGCGATTCCGCAACCTGGCGATGATTGTTCATCCGATTCCGGAAATTCACAACCTCTCCGAGGTAGGATTGCCGGGCTAGAACCGATCAATTTCATCACTTTGGCCACACCTCATCTGGGTGTTAGAGGCAGAAAACAGGTCCTCTCCCTCCTCTCTTGTCATGATTCGGATCAAAAAAGCTTCTGCATATGTCTCGTGAACTGTACTTAGAGTTTGTTGCTCTCGATTCGATATCGTATGTATAACGAAACCGGATTTTTTTTTGCCCGTGAAAAACGGTTTTTTTTTTTCAGCTGCCATTCCTCTTTGGAGTTCCTATTCTGGAAAAACTAGCTGCACCTATAGCTCCTGTCTTTGTCGGTAGAACTGGCAGCCAGTTGTTTCTCACCGATGGTAAACCCGATAAACCACCTCTTCTCTTGAGAATGGCATCTGATGGCGAAGATCTGAAATTCGTGTGAGTTACGGTTTTTCCATCAAATCCGAAATCATTGCGGTGCGTATATATAGAACGAGTTCTTCTGAAATATTCTAATGTAATGTCTTTACTTTTTCCCGCAGATACGCTCTTGGCTCGTTTAGATGTCGTATCGTTTATGCAAACGTATCTTACGATCGTATCCTCTTCATTTTCTGTTGCGATTTTACGTTTTCCAACTGATCTCTTTACGTTTCCCGTTAATTCTGCTTCCCTTTGACGACGAACTAGACATGGTTGGCTGGCGAACATCCTCCATAAGAAGAGAGAATGAACTTTTCAAAGTAAAATCCTTCACTTCCCCATTTTCTTTTGTTCGATTTTATCTTTCGGGTTTACTGAATCTTCTGGCAAAATAGCTGAAGAACGAAACTTTTAGCCGTCCAAATGTTAAAAAGGACCGAGATCGTGGTAACAGTGATTTACCCTTTCGGGTCGTGTATCCGTTTATTTTTGTTTGCAGCCTCCACGTCGGTCATTGGATGGATACAAGCATGTTGTGGATGTAGAATACTGCCAGCCCGTTTCGTCGGGCGGCGCTCATTTCCCTCCCGAAGCTGCCAAAGCTAAGGAGGCGGCACAAAGCTCGCCAAGCCCCGAGAACACCCTCGAGTATCACGAGATCGTGGAAGGTGAGAGCCACTCTACTTAACGAGAGCCTTAAATCTTTTTTAGAAAATCCCGAATATATAAAATCATGAACTTTGTCAAAAATAATAATAATAATAACAGGCAGGGCAAACATGAAATTTGAAATTTCAGGTTCTCTTGTCAAAACATGATGAAATGTTGAGATTCTGCCATATTACCCACCTCATGTCCCTATGACCAAATTCGGGAACTAGGGATGATTTCGGGTTTCGTTTGGCGATTAGGGATTTAAAAGTTCACGTCTTTCCCGAGATTTTCGACCAAGTTTGTGATTTGAACGATTTCTTTCGAGTAAGAAGCTGAAAATATCCGGAATTTGGGTGGCAGAGGAGATGATCCGTGGATTGCAGACTCTAGGATGGAAGAAAGTTGATGTCAGCTTCCATTCCGCCTTCTGGCCTTACTTTGCGCATAACAACATCCATGTAAAAACTCTCTCCCTTTCCAAACCCGATTTTCGCAATTTCCCGAAGTTCTGTATATAGATGCAAGATCTTGATACTGAGAAACTCCTGCTTCTGTTTCTGTTCATCTTTTTTCAAGGTGAAAAGCGAGTGGCTTCACAACGCAGGCGCTGGAGTTGTGGCCCATGTTGCAGACAGCATAAAACAGCAGGAGACTTCCTCCTTCATCGCCGCCAGCTTGTAGTGTTCTGCCGGAAACATGTGTCATCATCGAATTCAGACATCCATGGACTTCATTAACAGTTACTGAGCCGGAAGAGAGAGAGAGAGAGAGAGAGAGAGAGAGAGAGAGAGAGAGAGGAGCCTTTGAATTCATTGTACATTATCATTACGGTGTTTCTGTACTTTGGATTATATGACAGAGAAAGTGTGTGCTATATACAGATTGTCTGTTTCTTGGAAAACACGAAATGTCCACCAACGCCGTATTCAGGCTCTCTCTCTCTCTCTCTCTCTCTCTCTTGTTTTCCTTTTTGCTTTTGGGCTTATTTTAACTCTCCTATTTTATACAAAATGCTGATTAATATGTAAATTCACAAAAAAAAAAAAATAGCTTAATCATTAGTATAACTGAATTTGATCTTGGAATATTACTTTTTAGAATTAAACTGATGGAATATATAACATAATTGGATCAAAATTAAAAATAACTAAAAGTCATAATAAAAATATTTGTTTAAAGGTTAGTTTTATTCTCAACAAAAAATCAAAATCGAATTTTAATTAGAATCCAAAAAAAAAATTAAATAATTATAATTTTTATAATGTCAAAATATTTAAAAAAGCGGAAATCCGAAAACAACCAATTATTTCTTATAACGAAAATGGGAATTTTTTTTTTTTTTGTCAAAGGAAAAAAAATCGATGGAAGAGAGAGATGCCATCCAATTTCTTTATATAAATTTGAAGTAAATGTGTGATGAAACATAGGAACGGTTGCGAAGAAAGATCGGGTCAAATAAAACACCAAAAATAACAAAGAGACCAAAACACACACTTTCCAAAAATAGCAACGAACCCATTGGCTGTTTTTTTTTTTTTGTCTTTTCCTTAAACTCCTTATAAAAGGAGATACGTCGCTGCATCTACCTCAGTGTCTCCTCTCTATAAGCATCAAAATCAAAATCCATAACAAATAAATAAATAAAAAAAAGAGAGAGAAGAAGACCTAGTTAATAAAATTTGACAAAATAATTATTATGGCTAAATTCATTTTCTTCGTTGCCTCGGCGGCCCTTTGCTTGGCCGCTCTCGTCAGCTTCGCATCCGCCGATGCCGACGACTTCGACCGTTTCCACATCAAGGGCTCCGTCTACTGCGACACCTGCCGGGTCCAGTTCATCACCCGTCTCAGCAAATTCCTCGAAGGTATTGTATTTATCGAGAATTCTGAACTTTCTAAAATTTTCATATAAAATACTAATTTTTGAAACTTCTATAAAAAATACATAAACTTTGCAAATATGATCCAAACTTGGTAGTTCAACCGGTGGAACAGGGTGCAAAGCATTTATCCTATCCCGAATTCAAACCTTAAGTTTGGGTAGGGAGCGTATAATCCAAATCACATGATTGACTTCCGAATCCGAGATTAGTTTGGGTCTTGGTTTAGATACCCGGTTGTCCAAAAAAAAAAACTTTGCAAATATTTCAGAGCGGATATGAGTTTATCACAATATTTGCAAAATTTATCTCCTTTGATTAAAATTTTAATGTTTGTGTATTTATATGGAAATTTTTAAAAATTTATGATTTTTTTAATCTTGATATTGATCTTGCTATCTCTCTTGTAGTTATCTTAGTTGTTATATGCCATTTCGAATGTTTATGCGGTAGTCCACATGGTTAGAACATAGGGTTAGAATATAGATGCAAATATGTATGAATAGTCCGGGATGATTATTTGGATTTATATTTTAGATGTAACTTAAGGTTATGAACGTGTTTTTCATGATAGAGATACAAAATACACATACGATATCATTTGAACGGCTATATAGTACGATGAAAACACTCGTGAAAACGTATATATACGTGTGTATACGGCCGCAGGTGCTAAGGTGAAGCTCGAGTGCAAGAACCGAGTGAACCAGACCGTGACATTGACGAAGGAGGCAGTGACCGACAAGTCAGGGAACTACGAGATGGAAGTAATGGGCGACCACGAGGAAGAAGTGTGCGAGATAGTTCTCGGGGAATCGCCCGACGCAGAATGCAGCGAAATCAACAACGAGGAGTTCACGAGGAACGCCGCGAGAATAAGCTTGACGGCTAACGACGGGATCGTATCCAACGAGACGAGATCTGTTAACCCGTTAGGGTTTATGAGGAAGACCCCTCTCGGAGACTGCCCCGAGGCCTTTAAGGAGCTTGGAATTGTCCCTGACGTCATCTTCTAAGCTTATATTTTTTTTTATTATATGGTTCATTAAGGTTATGGATATATATATATATGTAACTATTTTTTTCTTTAATTTTTTGGTTGGGAAGATATAAATGTGCCTTGTAATGAAAGAATTTGCGAGGACCGTATACATGTTTTATGGTAATTTGATCATCGTCTTCTTGGACCCCGAGGGTTTTTATTTTTGAAAGAGGATGGTTGTTTACCCTTCACATTTTTTTAATTTTTTTTTTATAATCTGAAAGTTCACCCGACTCTTGATCCAATTACATCTTCCAAATGATTAAAAAACCCATGTGAATGTCTCTATCTAAGTGATGATTGGAAACTGAGTTAAGAGGAGATTTGGTTCTTTCCTTATTTGTTGAGATCCAATCTTGTTTTTTTTAAAAAAAAAAATTGGTTGGTATGAATTATTATAATAAATATTAAAGTTTTAAAGCCGGTAAAAAAACACTTAATATCATGATTATCAAAAGGGAAAATAAAACAAAAAACACTAAACTTTACAATTTTGACCAAAAAAAACATCTATCATTTGTTTTTATCAAATAAATATTAAACCTTTTAAATGAGTTTAAAAAAACACTAAACTTTTTAAATTATCTAAAAAATACATATGCGATTATCAAAAAAATACTAAACTTTTTAAATGACTCAAAAACAACTAAATTAAGGGTTGACCATGAATATAAATATTAATTAACAACTATATTTTTCCTTAATTAATTTAGTTTTGAAAAAAAATAATTTATGTAATCCAATTAATTTGTATTGGATTTAATTTACCATATCATCCAATTTATTATATTTTTCAAATTTCATACATGTGAATCGAAATTAGAGTTTGATTTGTCGTGGTTAAGAAAACGTGTTTAACGAGAGATTCAATGCATCATTAGGGCTTGTCAAAATATTTGACACACAATTAGAGAAATTAAAACGGACTGTGAGAAATTCTTCATCCCCTCAATCAAGAGAATCATGAAATTATATGAACATGAAAAAATTACGTCACCTTTCATAAAATATTCCATTTTTTTTCCACGTAGAATCGAATCCAATCGATAAATCGCCTCCGAATAAATTCATGCGGGAAGAAAAAAAATAAATGGCATAACTCTTTTTAAAACCCTTTAACAAAAAAAAATCCTTTAACAAAAAACTCTTTTTAAAACCCTTTTATTTTCTACTTACAAGACTTTTTAAATCAGATTTATAAAATTATTGCACCTATGCCGTATCCGAAGATTCTACCTTATCCTTCCATATATACATGATGCTTTATATATATACATATATATATATATGTTCACCAACAAATGATTATATATATATATATATATATGCAATTCCAACTTTGAAAACTACGCCATAATCGTCTTCAAATTATTTTTCGATTTCATAAACGTTTTCAATGAGCTCTATCAATGATATATATATATATATATATATATATTAAATTAAAATATCATCGAAGATTATATTTTAAGAGCCAACAATTTCACACATTCTAAACATATGTAAGCTTCGGTTTACAAAAGTAAGACGAATTTCCAAACGAAACATTAAAAGCCTGATTAATATTTGTGCAGTAAAACAGACATTATAAGTAGTAATTAATTAATTAATTAAACTAATTAATCATCTTCCAGCCTGTATGTACCCAATAGCTACCATGTTCTTCACCGGGTCTCAAGGAGCCAATCCCAAAAAAAAAAATCAGTAAGACTGGTCGCCGGAGAAACAACGAAACCGCTTCACCGGAATATCATGCCGGAAACCGCCGTGCACCGCCGCCGTGGCATGCCACTCCTCCACCAACAGACCGTCTAGCTCGACCTGGTGTACCCCACTCGCACCCAGCACGCCGGCGACACCCACAAGATCTCCGGAGACGACTCGTCCGGTGGGTTTGGTTTTGCGGCGACCGGCGCCGACGGGGACGTTGCGGAGGGCCCCACTTTTTCCCG